GAAAGCCTAAGAATTGAACCAGGGACTACACTTTGAGAACCACTGCATAATCTACTTGATGTATTGATGAGGAATCTGAGCTCCTTCGGTTTTTATCACATTATGCTAATGCTACACATTTTTTTTTTTTTTTTTTTTTTTTTGAGATGGAGTCTCACTCTGTAGCCCAGGCTGGAGTACAATGGTGTGATCTCAGCTCACAGCAACCTGTGCCTCCCGAGCTCAAAGAATGCTCTTGCCTCAGCCTCCCGAGTAGCTGGGACTACAGGTGCCCACCACCATGCCCAGCTAATTTTTATATTTTTAGTAGAGACAGGGTTTCACCACATTGGCCAGGCTGGTCTCAAACTCCTGATCTTGTGATACACCTGCCTTGGCCTCCCAAAGTGCTGGGATTACAGGCATGAGCCACCATGCCCAGCCAATGCCAAGCATTTTTTAAATAAATGGAAACTCCCCAATGTATTAATATGAATGACGATACTTTCTACACTTAGTTGCTAAATTATGACTGTATGTTTTAAGTGGTACTTCAGAATGAAATGTTTCACTGAAAGGTTTTCCTTAGTCTTCCCCTTTTCTGGTCTATGCCTTGTCCCTTTTCCGTCTGCCCCCACAAACCTGCCACCAGTGGCAGGGTAGTGTTTAGGAACTGTCTATAGATGTGATACTACCCAGATTTTACTGAACTCCTAAATTCTGTACATACAGACAAGATTTGATTTTCAATTGATAAAATGAGATTATCTATCTACCTCAGCCAAGTAGCATACACTCCAAGATTTGCAAAAATTAAATGGCTTATATGGTGACAACATCTATACAACTCAAGTAGTTGGACGTCAATATGTCTTTATTAATTTGAAAGGTTCTTTCCTGCCTCTGGGCCTCAATGCAATACCTCTCCTTCTGCCCAGAAAGCTCTTCTGTTCACTTTCCCTTTTGTTTTAGACTTAAATATGACTTTCTTTGGCAGGGCCAGGTCCTCTGGTGATACTCTGTCTTCCAGCTCTGGGGCTCTGCCTCACAGAGCATGTCACAGCTGTACTTGAACGGATCTGTGCAATGGTTTGTGTATGTCTCCGCACTAGACTGTAAATTCTGTTAAGAGTTGTCTGCTTGGTTCTTCCAAGTTAGGTTCTTGTCTAGCTACTGGCACAGCATTTGATACACAGTAGGTACCTGTATTTGTGGAATACGTTCCTGCCCAGATTAATTTAGTAGTGTATATGTCTCAAATAATCCTAAAATCTGTCCCAAAGTATATTTTAGTGCTGTTTTGATCTCAAAAAAACTTTTAACATGCCATATAATTTTCAAGCTCTGAATTTTAAACTATAATAAAAACGTAATTCAAAAAACTGTAAACAGTAGTATCCATAGCAGGGATTAAGTTCTGAGCTTATTTCCTCTTTACTGTATTACACATCTGACAATGTCCTCAACAGAAGCAACACATGTTGAAGTACTATCCTAAAATGGTTGTGACACAATACAAATTAAAACTACCCTAGAGACCAAAATCCCTTAGCCAGGGCAAAACTATAAGGAACTCAAAAGCCTTCATTTAGCTTCCTTTCTTTCAACATTCTTTTTGCTGGGATGACCAAGGTCTGAAATGCAATTTTTCTACCCAGCCCCATCTCCCTTTTCTGCTAGGTACAGCTGAACTAAGTTGGGCGACAAGGCAGATAATGGGCTCCAAACTGTGCTGCACCTGTCTTTCTGGTGGCCGTCTTTATTACACCAAGATCCCCAGACACCACCTGCAGGCCCAGAAGAGAGCCTACTGCCAACTAGAGCATAAACTGCTCATTCGCTCCACCACCAAGTGCTTTATGGGCCAGGACACAGCCTCCTGGGCAGTGGTCCTTGACCTTGGAATCTGACCTTCACACTGACATCACTAGAACACTAGGAAAAATCCCCCAGCCTTGGACTCCCCGGAGACCAGCTAAATCACAATTGCTGCAGGGGACTAGGGCATTTTTCCAATGATGAAGCCTTTTCCTACTCAAGAAATAAACTCAATTCTGAATGAGTCAGGGTTTCATGAATTGCTTCATAAATACTTATCCCAAATTATTTCTTTTATATGTTGTAAGATGTTCCCATTTTTCTGAGCTTTATATTAACTAAGTAAATGGGAAATGAAGTATATCTGTTAAAACCTAATCAATATTAACTTGTTAAAAATATTATGCAATTGAAATTGTTTCAACACAAAGAGGACAAAAAACAAATCACCGAAGTTATAAAAGTTAGCAAATTTGATAGCACCAATTCAATAAAGCAATTAAAAATGATCTAGTAGTACATTCTGTGAAACTTTGACAATATGATGTTCCTTGGCTATGACATAATCATGTATTTCGATCGTTTGAAAAATTGTTGTTTAACTTGAACGCAGGATTAAATGGCCAGAAATACAGAGTCAGGAATTAGGAGACAACTCTGTTTCCAGGCTCCTTACCAACAAGTTCTTAGGCCCCCATCTCTCTACTTAACCATCATTTAGCAAACACACTATATGAGCTGAATGGGTGCTGAGTCTGCTACAAGGCTGAATATATTCTCCACAACGACTTACGTATTTATTAATTTCTTTCTCTCCCTCTTTTCCCTTCTTTTTGGAGTTCAAAACTTCTTGACTCTGCAATTAGTAAATGTTATAAAACTGAACTTGTACATTATATGTGAACTGTTAAAAAACAAAATTTGAGGCTGGGCACAGTGGCTCACACCTGTAATCCTAGCACTCTGGGAGGCCAAGGTGGGCGGATCACCCGAGGTCAAAGGTTCGAGAACAGCCTGGCCAATGTGGTGAAACCCCATCTCTAGTAAAAATACAAAAATTAGCCAGGTGTGGCGGCACACACCTGTAGTCTCAGGTATTTGGGAGGCTGAAGCAGGAGAATTGCTTGAACCTGGAAGGCAGAGGTTGCAGTGAGCCGAGATTGCATCACTGCACTCCAGCCTGGGCGACAGATCAAGAATCCATCTCAAAAACAAAAACAAACAAAAGCAAACAAAATATGAACAAATTTAAAGACGGAATTAGCTTTTATTAGCAATTCATGAACCTGGCAGCATCTCAACTAAAAATTCAGAAAAGGTGTTCTGATTAGCTGAGCAGAGGAGGTGGGCCAAAAAGGGATGAAGAAGCAAAAAGAGAGAATGAAAGACAGATTGATGAGTCAAAATGGAGGAGAGAGTTTTTTTTTTATCATGCTGGCTCAGGTAAACCAAGCCCACTTCTGATTCTTTGCTGTGTATCTTCTGAATTTTTTTTTGACAACTGGCCCATTTCTAAGTTGTTTGATTATGTGGCATCTAGCACCAGTGACTTGATTCTGATTTGGGCTGGTCTGTGGGGCCTAGCGCAGGAGTTTAATCTGAAACAATGGCTTCCTATACATTTACAATACTAATAAAATACTGCTTTTATTTCATTTTTTACATTGGAGTCCCGCTGTTAAGAAAAAATAAAGGGAGAAATCATGGCAGAATTGAAAGATCGAAAGCTACTAAAAATTGATACCATTTAACAGTCCTGAATAAGTCGTTTCTAATTATAATTCAGCTACCAATTTCAAGGAGAAATGGAAATGTAAAAAGTAGAAATTATGAAAGTATGAAATTATAATGTGCCAAAAATAAAAAAGCCGAATCTATCTTCACTGTCATTTTATTGTGCATTTCACTGCACTTTTCCCTTGGACAACTGCAACCGATCCCTTCCAAAGGGGTTGTATCGTGGCCCATCCTACACCCACTTTTCGTCTGAAAAATCAATCCACTTTCCTTAGAAGAGAGTCCAAACTCCTAAACAAAACTTACCGGGCCCTTCAACATCTGACTTTTGGCGTTTTCTCATCTCTGTGCCTCATCCCCCAGTCTCATTACCAGTCATTTTCCCACCACTCTGCTTCAACTACCCTAGCCTTCTCTCTGGCAGTTCCTGTAAACAGCAAAGCATACGCCAGCATCAGAGGCTTTGCATTTCTAATTCTCTCTGCTGGCAAAATTCTTTCCCTAGATCTTGGCATGGCTGGCTCTTCGTCATTCAGATCTAAGCTCAAATGTCATTTCCTCAGAGACCTTTCCTCACTATCTTAGTCCATTTCCTGTTGCTTATAAAATAATTCCTAAAACTTGGTAATTTATAAAGAAAAGTAATTTATTGTCTACAGTATTGGAGGCTGGGAAGTCTTAAGACTGACAAACCACACCTGGTGTCAGGAGGCAGCACAGCAAAGTATCACGTGATCAGAGGCCGAGCAGGCTCACGTGTTATCAGGTCTCTCCTTATAAAGCCACCAGTTCTACCTCCATGATAATCCATTAATAGATTAATTCACTCATGAAGACAGAACCCTCATGATCCAACCACCTCTTAAAGACTCTACCCCTCAGTACTGCCACACTGGGGATTACACGTGAGTTTTGAAGGGAACAGATATTCACACCATAGCACTACCTATCTAATATGCTATAGCCCATCACGTCCTGGTCAAAATCGATCTCACCATTCTGCTTGATTTTTCTCATATAACGCATCCCTATCTCATAATTTTGTGTTTGTCTCCCCGAAATCACTATCTTGTTCACTGTTGTCTCCTCAAGGACTAGAACACTGGCCAGTAAAACACTTGCTAGATGAATAAATGCGCCTAACAAACATGTCATGATCAGTCTATCTCGCGTTTTCCCCACGCCCCCTTCCCATTCATTCACAGGAACCCGCCAACGTTGCGATCCCTTCAGGGAAGCCCTTGGACCGGCGTCACCATCCCAAAGAGTCCCCCTCTCCCACTCTAGGCGAGGCATTCCCAGCCTGGAAGCTAATGGGGTCTCAGGGACTGACAGACGCGCCAAGGACTTGCGTCTGAGAAGCGCTGAGCAGGGGCGGAGAAACAGGACCCCTTTCTTCGCTTGTTTGAGCCTGCCGCCCTCCCAACCTTAAGCCCTGGACCAGGCCCTCATTTGGCCGCACTCACGCCTCCCCTGCCGCCCAGCTCAGCGGCTGCTCCGGGTTATCTGCCTGGGATCTGGCTCAGGCCAACTCTCTTCACACCGCCATTCTAGAGAACACACCTGCCCTCTCTGGGCCACCGTAGTTCACAGAAAGTACACGCTGGCCCCTCCTCCCGCATGCGCAAAGACCGCGTTCGGCGTACAGTGTCTCTTAGCAACTGTTTAGAGTCCCTCGTCGGGGGCGGAGCCTCCGAAGCCACCACAGGGAAGCCGTGGGGGTAAGTGAGTGAGACCAATCGGAGACGAGTCACAGTCCCGGTCGACACGCCTCCTTTAACTGTCGCGAATGCAGAGGCAGCTTTACGGCAGGCAGAAGGTGGGGGCTGCTGGGGATAAGGAGGAGAGAGGGAAGCAACCAACCAACCAAGTCGCCCCCACTCCCCCCACCCCCACCCACCCCGGACCTGGTTTACGGCTCCAGGCTCAGGCTCCACTGCGGCCGCTGATTGGTTGCTGAAGGCTTGGTCCCATCCCAGTGACCCCAAAGTGCTGGAGGGAGGGGGCGGGGGTGGCCCAGTGCAAAGTGCATCCCGAAAGCCCCCTGTCCGGAGACCCCACGGCTGGCACTTCCGACCTCGTATGACCTAGGACCTTGCTGTCCCGAGACCTCCTGGGTCCCTCCGTAGCTGGAAGCCTCCGGCCCGGAGCGCGGCAGCCCCCAGTTCCGAGCCCTGGACCGGGACTGCCCCCCCCACCGGAGCCGGGACTTCCTCCCTGCCTCCCTACACCCCTGCCCCGAGGCTGCCCGGCAGCGGGGACCGTCACCTCCAGCCTGCTCGGCTGTTTGGATGCTCGCCGGGCTGGGGCCGTGAAGCACCAAGGAGGATCAGGAACACCAGGGTCCGGCCCTGCCTAGGGTATTTCTTCAATGGAGAAGTTGGTGAGTGTGGAGGAGGCTAAAAGGAGGAAGAGAAGCAGCAGCTGAGGAGACAGGTAAAGTCAGATACCTCCCCTGAGGGGAAGAGGGCTGGTTGGGAGGGCAGGAGATAGGAAAATCTCTGCTTTTTCTCGCCTGCCCTTGCCACTCTCCTGTCGCCTTCCTGAGCTCCCGCTTCTTCAGAGCCCCCTCCTCACCCCTGAGGCACTGCACCACTTACTGGTTTCTGTTTTTCTAGGTTTGAGCTGGCTGAAGAAGACGCGAAAGCAGGAAGGGGTCTACCCACTTACCAGGGAAGCAGAAGGCACAGTGCCTCTGATCAGCATCGTCTATAAAGGTAATGAGCCAGCCTTCCCCTCCCCCATTGTTTATTCCTGGCCCCTACCTCATTAGGCAGTGCTTTATTTTCAGGGTGGTTGCCTGGGAATGCAACCTTTCCTAACCCAACCCCCCCTCAGTTTCCCAGGAAAAACAAAAACATTACCCGTGCCTGATTTTTAACATTTTATAACTTCTCTGCCCTAGGAACGCATTTTTCCACTTTCTCTCTGTGCAATGTGTTTCGGTGTTTTGCGTTATCTTTTGGTCTACTGTGCCATTTACTTTGCTCTGAGACTTTGAGACCTTTTTATAGCTACCCCCTTCCTTACTCTCATAGGAATTCCTCAATTCCTTTGTTAATTGCTTGTTAATTCTGAATGACTCTCCCTTTTAATTAAACCATAATTTACTGTTTCCCCCCCTTACTCTTTCCTATCACCTTTCTTCTACCTGCATCAGAAAAATCTTTTGAGTTACCGAGTTGACAATGATTTGGTAGAGGAAGGTAAATTAATGGCTTGAGATTTATGAGTGTAAGAAAATTGATTTTATTTCCTACTAAAAAGTGAACCTGTGTACCTTAAGAGTGTGAATGGTATAAAGGCAACATTATTACCCTGAAGCTCTTAAGTGTAATTAACTCTTTTGGCTTTTTGTGTGTTTGTGTGTCACAAAGTGGCTGGGCTTTAAAACTTGTAAGTTACACCTCAGATTTTCTGGAAGAACTTTAAAAAGTTTACACAATGTCTTATTAATCGTCCTACTCTCAGGAATTTAAAAGCAAAGGAACCTTTTGGTGTGTTTACATATCTGGCTCTTAATTTTAGCACTTATAAGAAAAGATTTTTCATTTCAAAACCCTTACCTAGAGTTTGCTAGATTGAAATTTAAGCATCTAGTTCATGTGATCATATTTCTGCTGCCATATTTTGTTGCTGCTTCTGAAAATGCACTGAAGGTAAGCTTAGGACATTAGTGTAATTCCTGAAGAGGGAATATAAGCATGGAAATTAAACAAAGTTTAATTCCAAAATTAGCCAAATGAATGACTTTTCTAACATCCAGTAGCAAAAGTATAAAGTGACTTGTTAATCTGAGTTATTTTAATATCCCAGATTGTTTAGGGAATTTTTGTTACAAGGAAGTACTTAAAATAGCAGAAATGAATATTTTTGTTTTCCTATGTTCCTCTGGACATTCTGCCCTCCACAAAAAGAAATTAGTATCTTTACTGATTTTGTTAATTCTCAAGACATAGCTAAAGACGCTTTTAAGGGGATCTGAGGTATACGTGTTCTTGAGACAGGGAACTGGATGCCAAAAGAAGAGATTCTGCAGAATAGGATTTAGAATCAGTATGTACCTGTTACTGTTCCCTGGTGAAAACTTAGGGCAGGCTTTGTATGTGTATGTAGGGAATCAGGAGTACTTGACTACATCAGTAAAAGCTAGGCAGAAACCTTTAAAGGCTAATTTTATTATGTAAGTATGGAAGTTGCCAGGGAGATGGCCTAATGATTACTTCAGAACTTCTAAAAAATGCTAAAATATTTGAAGTATGTTTTAAAGATCAAAAATGAAGTACTGTGTTTTGTATTCAAGGCTCTCAGTTAAATATTTTTTCTGCTTCAGATTTAACCCTAGGATGCTTTCATTTTTAATGGGTAGTTTCACCTGAGATGGTGAGGGAGGGAGCCTGTGGCTAGTCCAGCATATAAGGTAAGAGAGGAAAAGGCTTTACCCTGGCTCTCAGCCAGTTCATTCTCGTTGCTTAAATAGTATTTCATGGACCATCTCATCTTTTAATGGTTTTTCTAAGATTAGGGAATATATATAAATTGTCAGCATCTGTAATGTTTCTAATATTAGAATGAGAGTATTTGTTATAGATTATGCCATACATTTAGAATATTAAATTTGGGTATTTACCAACTTGGCTAGTTAGGTAACTTACATTTTTTAATCTGGTAGTTAGCTTTTGTTAATTCTGTTGCCAATTATGTGGTTTAAAAAGGAAATCCAATTTATTTGGTCACCAAATACAGATTTATAATCACGTAGGGAGAATAATTGATTTTAATTGAAGATATTCAATGATGAATCTTTAGTATACTGTGGCCAGTACTTATATTCTTTAAACATAAAGTGACATCATTTACAATTATTTAATACTGTGACACGTACAGTATCTCTTTAATTCGTTCACATTTAACTTTGGTGACATAGAGATACACACTATCCCTAAAAAGTCTAAAGCCAGATAATGTTTATATTAGCATATCTGGTACCTGACTCTCAGCCTTCCATTTCCTAATCAACTGAATGCACTCCTTAAGTAGAATGATTGTGTCCTTTCTTGCGAACTTTCTAGGAACTGACACACAAGGCTGCAAAGATGGTATTGGCAGAGCTTGGTTGAAAGGATAATGTTGACAGAACCTCATTGTTACAGTACTTGTGATTTAAGCTTTGAGTTGGGTCTGGATAAATGAATTCTAAAATTTCTCCTGTTGCTTCATCCACATTTCATGAAAATTATTGGTTTTCTCTGCTGGGATTTATGTGAGTCATAGATAAGCTGTGCATGGTAATCCCTATTTTACATGGAGGTCCGGTCATTTGGATGAAATAGTAATACCTTTATTTGTTTTGGAAAATAACCACTACGCTATGCTATGCTGAGTGGTACTAAAATTACCCTTCTACTTTATTTTGGGTTCCAGGCTCCTGATCGTATCAGTGGAGCTTGTGAATAGGCATCTCAGCCATGTTCTACGTTTGGGTCAGGCCTTGTAGTGCTTTGCGTCCATCTTCCCTCTTAGATCTTGTGAACGTGAAGCATTGAAGAATTTTTTTTTCCTCAGATCCAATGTCATCGGAGTTGCTGGCCGCATTTATTTTCTTAACAGCATGTATTTTTGTTTACTTTGCAAAGAAATGCTTATTTCTTTCTTTGAGTAGCAAGCCAATATCTTTTCTAAGTTTATGTGACATCAGAAAGCACAGTTCCATTTACAACACTTAATCAAAAATGTGTGAACTTTTAATGAAAACAATATGCAAAAAGTCATGAATGTCTAATCATTTATGCCAAAGGAAATTGGGGAAATGTGATCAAATTTGGTGAAGGTTTTCTAACTTTGGACAGGTCTTAAACATATTTTATGTTTATTTTACTCTTCACTCTGTTCTATCAGTATAGATTTTTTTCTTTTAACTATGTGAAGCAAGAAGTTGTGGTTTTAACTAAATGAACTTCACTTGGCATATATATGGAAATTAGATGGTTATGTATTTTAATTTCAAAATTAATAGTTATTAATATGGTCAATAATATTAAAGCTTGGAAGCCTAGATTGCTTTCTTTTGACCCCATGTAGTGGAAAAGAAAGTCTTCCTTGTTTGGATTCTTTTTTTTTCTTCTGACTGAGACCTAGAATAAAATTTCTAAAGATCGTACTCTCAGTATCAGTAGTTCCCGAGTCCACAAAAACTTACACTGAACATACGTAACTTAGAAAATTACCTCCTTTGTTATATTCCATTATATTATAGGTGACTTCCATGAGCTATCAGATTTTTTAACTTTAACTCCCTGAGGGAAAATAGACTTTCTTCCATTCTCATCTCTGGACTTCCTCTGTGGTTTTTAATAGACATTCTTTACCACTGAATATTGTGTTCACTTTTAAGCTCCATAGGTCTTTCTTATTCATCGATACACACGTCAAGAGCTCTACTCTGTCAGGTGCATTTCTCATAAAGTAACACCAAGAGGAAATTACTTGTTGATGTTTTGACTATTTGAGGGTCTTTTGTAATAAATTATTGTCATAATTCAAAGAAGTGCAGCTGACAGGGATCATGTGTGCATGACGTGTGTGTTTTTTTTCTGGTAAATGTGGATGCATTAGTACATGCAAGGCATAC